GCGCGCGAACCCCGTACCTCTGCGCTTCACTTCTGCAGCTTCTCTGGGTCTCAGTGTGCCTTTCCTGCCTTCTAGTTGTAGAGTTTACAGTCAGCCAGGCTTCCTGTTGTTCTGGATGATGTCCGTATTGTTTCTCTGAGGTATTAATCAATTGTTGTGAGCGGCATTAATTTCCCGGTGTTTATCTCTGCCGCCATCTTAGTTTTTCCTCCATTACACGTTTTCTTATTGCAGGTACAGGATTCTGTCCTGCACAGTGTCCTGTGACCTCCATGCCACCCTGTTATTGCACCTCAGCCTCTTTATCCAGGTCGCCGTGGCCCACGTGGCTGACTGGTGGCTCCATCTCACCCAGCATGCACGCCTATCAGCGCGAGAAGATGAAGGAGGAGCAGAAGAGGCAGCTGGCGGCCAGGCGGGAGAGGCTCCAGCGGCTGCTGCTGGAGGAGCAGGACCTGCTGGCCAGAGAACTGCAGGAGCTGAGGCTGAGCATGACCTTGAGGGAAAAAAGAATTCGGGAGCAGCACAGGACTCTCAAGTCAGCCCGGGAGGAGCAAAGGAAGCTGGTACGTTCTCACGCCCTCGGCAGCATCCCAGCCGTCAGGGCTGCGCCCGCGGTCACCCCTGGCCGCTCCGCACAGACGCGGTGGCCGTAACTTCAGCGCCAGCAGGAAAGCGCTGCCTCTCGGTGGGTGTTTTGCATGAGTCGTCTCTGTTCTCCGTGGCCCTTGAAATCATCCCGTCTTAGCTCTTTTTCTTTATTCCAGTTCTGTGGCCCCACGAGGCCTGGGACTGGGGTGTTTTCTCTTCAACGTAGCTGAGTGGCAGGTGAGCCGGGCCGGGTTTTAGCTGCTGTGTCATGGGAAGCAGACCTGCAGCGTCTAGGACCCACACGTGCCGTCCGGCCTGGCGCCCTCCGTCACTGCCGCCTGGTTCGGCTTGGGGTCCGGCTCCCGGACCCATGGGTGCCAGGCGGGGGCTCTGAGGGCAGTGCAGTGACAGCTGGCTCCCAGGGTGGGTTATCCGAAACGTGTGTGGATCTGCAAAGCCACCCCAGGCTCCCTCTGGTTTCCTTGGCAGGTTGCTGAGCAGCTTTTGTATGAACACTGGAAGAAGAACGACCCCACACTTCGAGAGGTGAGAACCGGGCACCCTAAGGGGGCGCCATCGCGTGTCCCGGCTGGTTTTAGATTGCGTCTTGCGCTGGGTGGAGGCAGGAGGGAGCACTCCAGCCCTGAGAGGAGCACCAGCAGATCTGGTTCCTTGGTGATTTACCCACTGTCATTGCCCATCTGGTGTGATGTCCACCTGTGCAGCGAGAGGCGGTCCCCACTCCTCCTGGGGGAGCCAGTGGGCAGCTCGTTACAGTGCAGGGTGCAGGGTGTGGGCATCAGGGCAGTGCCCCCATCAGTGGAGCTCAGACAGGCGTCCCAGCGGAGCTGCAGGTGGAGGTGTTAGAAGGACACGGGTGCTAACTTGCGGGTGCAGAGATGAAGAGAGGACCTTCTGGATTGAGGCACCTGCTTCATGGGTCCTCCAAAGCCATTTGCTCCGAAAAGCTTATTCAGAACATTTAGTTGCAAATGTCCATATTTGTAAGTTGAGAAAGAAAATTTAAATTTTTATGAACAATTTCGCACATAACGCTTTTGGACAGAGTACTGTATGCAATTCATTTTCTGATCCAAAAGACCCTTTAAACACGACTCTCTCACTAACCACGCAGACGTGTTCTCTGCTGGAGCTGGCCACGTGCATCCACAGCTGTCCTTCCTTTCTTCCTTTCTCCCTCCCTTCCTTCCTTCCTTCCTTCCTTCCTTCCTTCCTTCCTTCCTTCCTTCCTTCTTTCTTTTGTTTAAATATATTTTTATTGGTTTTGAGAGGAAGGGAGAGATAGAAACATCAATGATGAGAGAGAATCATTGATTGGCTGCCTCCTGCACTGGGGATCGAGGCCCTGACCAGGAATCAAACCGTGACCTCCTGGTTCACAGGTCGATGCTCAACCACTGAGGCACGCCGGCCGGGCTGGTTTTCCAGTTGACCTGCTTTAGGGTCATCCTGTGCTCCCTCCCCAGACACCTGGGCCACGCTTGTGTCCTCACAAAGGAAGTCACGGTCACGTTTCAGTGCAGGCCCTGCGCTCCCAGGGAACGTCTGCTGGGTGACCCCGAGAGGAAATTAATCATCTCTTTCTTATCCTCAGATGGAGTCGGACCTTCACAAGAAGCACGTGATAAGCTCTTGGGAAACACAGAAAGAAGAAAAAAAGCAGGTGTGGGCTAGGACTCGGGAAACGCCCCACGGGCGATAGTGGAGACTCCCCGTGTCTCGGTATTTGTGGAGCCCTCCCGCGGTGCCCGCACTGCCCGCGTGCTCCCAGCCTCGTCTCTCGGAAGTGGGAGTCAGTCCACAGTTCCCGTGAGCACGAGCGCGGGGTCACTCAGCGGCGAGTGGCCGCTCAGGTGGGGCACGTGGGGGGAGGACCCCGGCCTGCGGCCAGCTGCACGCTGGCAGGGGCTGCGTATTACGGAAACTGATCTCGATTCACTTGGCCCCACGTAGCAAGACGCTGTGGAGGAGGAAGAGAACAAACGGTATGAAAATGAATATGAGACGGCCCGCAGGGAAGCGCTGGGACGGATGAAGGCGGAAGAGGAGAGGAGGCAGTTGGAGGATAAACGCCAGGCGGCGGCGCTGCTGCAGCAGATGGAGGAGCTGAAGGTGCAGGAGGTGGAGGTGAGGGCACGGCCGCGCCCGCGGGGCCTCCTCAGTGCTTGTTACAATGGGCATGTCATGGCTGCTGTGAAGACAGCCTCCTAGGGAGGCGCTTCTCGGAAATGCAGCAACGCGGCTGGCGTCTGCGGTGTCCCTGCTCCTGTGTCGTGCTGTGTGCCTCATCCTAGAGTGTCAGCCGTGTGGAGATGGCACCTTCCTCTCTGCCTGAGAGTCTTCGTAGAACTCGGTGTCCCAGCACTCAGTGAACCTGACTTACTAGTAGTCTGACGTTCTAGCACATGGCTCCTCCTGGCCAGCAGCCTTTGGACTCAAGGCACAAACTGTGAGGGTCTTTGGTCTGAAGGCTATTTTGAGAAAGATGTGCAGGTTCCCTGAGGGGGTGGGACCTTCCTACTCAGAGGAGGGAAGCCCCCGTCCCAGGCCTGAATGAAGGGAGAACTAGATCTTGGCGCTCACGACTTATTCTGGGTGCCAGGCTGGGCTGGGTGCTAGAGATACCGCCGTGAGCAAGCCTCACAGACCTGGCCCTCACGGCGGGGGCGTGTGAGGTGGAGGGGCAGATGGTGAGCCGCAGTGAGGCGTGGGCAGTACAGGGTCCCGGGGAGCACAGCAGAGGCTCCTTGTCCACAGGGTTGGCAATGGCTCTTGTAAGAAATGGCTCATCTGAGTTGGGTGAATGAGTGAGCTAAGCTGCAGCAAGGGGCTCGGGCGGGAGGGGCGTGGTCGCCAGGCGGCAGGCCAGCCTGTTGCCTAGTCTGCTGGGAACGGAGAGGAGGAGTGAAGGGAGCCGAGTCTCCTGACCTCCTGGGGTTGCTGTCATTGTAACCACAGGCCACCAAACTGAAGAAGGAGCGGGAGAACCTGCTGAGGCAGCGGTGGGAGCTGGAGCGGCTGGCAGAAGAGAGGGAGCAGATGGCAGCCCTCCGGCAGAAGGCGGAGCTGGGGTGCGTGGAGGGGCTCCGCCCTCAGAGCCCCTCCCCCCCCCCCTCTCTCTCGGTGTCCCTGAAACAGGAAGGGTGCACCCTGTAGTGAGTAGCTGTCTAACTTCTGTCTAATTCTTGGTAAGACATTGATGAAGGGAACCACTATTTTGTTCCTTTTTAGACGCTTTTTGAGACATCAGTATAACGTGCAACTCAACAGACGCGCACAGCAGATCCAGGAGGAGCTGGTGAGTGGAGAGACTGCTGGCGTCCTCTCACCTCTGAGAGCCATGTTTCCATTGCTCAGTGAGAAGTGAGACGCAGAGTGAGACCCCGGCCCGGCCCTCCCCCGCGGGCTCTGCTGGCACGTGCCCTGTGGGCAGTTTACCCGCCAGCACACGTGGGGGGGTGTGGTTTCTGAAAAACCACCTGAAGCCGTGCTCCTCGCCTGTTTACCTGAGGGTAACGCTCCCACTTCGGGATCCGTCTGCCTAGGTTGAGCTTGTTCTGTTTCCCAGCTGCTCGGTGTCCTGTCTCCCTGCGAGGGCGTGTGCTCCCATCCTGCCTGCGTGTCCTCCTCCTCCCTGGCAGGGCCCTCTGGGGCAGTGCCCTCCGGCTTCCCCCCGAGGCGCCTTTCCCGGCTCCAGGCCCCCGGATTCCTCACACCCTTCCGCCGTGCCATGTACCTAACAGCTGGCCCTACCCGGGTGTTGGCGTTGTTTACGGCTTTCCCCTCTTAGGTGACGGCGGCAGCGAACTTCTGTGCGTAAACCTCGGCATGTGTGCGTCTGGAGTCTGTGTTCTTAGAAGTGGGATTGCTGTCAAACTGTCCGCAAGGCTGAGCTAGCAGATGTGTCTGAGGGCAGGGACCTGCGGGTGGCGGCAGAGGGCTCGCCCTTGAGGCAGAGAACAGCTCCTGGGCCTCCGCGGTGTCCTTTCAACCACCCCAACCTCTTCCGCGTCCACGTGGAGAGCATCTGGCAGCGTCACGAGCGTCTGCACAGGAGAGGGGCTCGGCCAGCGCCCTCAGTCCTTCCTCCCTCCCCCTCCTCCCCCCAGGAGGCGGACAGGCGCATCCTGCAGGCCCTCCTGGAGGAGGAGGTGGAGGCCCAGCGGGAGCACTCGGCGCGGCGGGCGCAGGCCCGGGCGGACGTGGTGTGGATGCAGCAGGCTCTGGAGCAGCAGCTGCAGCGGGAGCGGGAGCAGGAGGCGGAGCTGCAGATGCTGCTGAGGTGAGGCAGCTGTGGGCGCGCCCGCCTCTCTGTCCTGGGGTCCCAGCAGGTCTCCCCGGGGGTCTGTTCCTGAAACGCCCGTCCCGGGTCCTGCCTGTCCGTCACTCATGAGGAGTGGCTTTGTGAGGACCTGGCTGTGAGGGTGCTTCCCTTCGGTCACGATGGAGATCCTTAGGGTTAAAGTAAGGGCCGGCTCATCTGAAGTCTTAGCATCTGAAAGGAAATGGTCCTCATGCTGGAGATGGTGCTGCTGGGGCTGTACACGTGGGCCTGGGTCCTCACAGTGAGCCCAGCAGATTGAAACAACAGCAGGCAGCATTCCTTGAGCACGTGTGTGCAGATGCCCGCCCAGTGCAGATCTGCGGGCCCTGCAGACGCGAGGAAGTCCCTCATTGGCGCCGGCCCCAGGGCGAGCCGGCTGGGACCCCAGGAGCGCGGCCACAGCTCGGCACCGGCCGCTTCACTCGCCTCAGTGTTGAAGTGGCCCAGGTGCAAGTCATCAGCGTGCCTTTTAGAAAGAGGTGGAGCATTAAAAAAGGTCCCTTCAAGGTCTTGCTGGTAGGGACACTCCGTGAGGAGAGGTTTACTGGAGGCTGGCCCACAGCCGTGCCGCCCGGGGCCTCGGAGCCCTGCTGGTCCGTCCGCCATCGGTGGGGGTGAGGAGCCGCTGCCATGGTCCTGTTTCCCCAGGGAGGAAGCCAAGGAGATGTGGGAAAAGAGAGAGGCCGAGTGGACCCGCGAGAGGAGCGCACGGGACAGGCTGATGGCCGAGGTAATCCCGCTGGGAGGGCGTGGCTGGCGGTGCCGGGCCGGTGTGGGGTTAGGGACTGAGCCTGCCAGATATTTTGGGGACAGAGTCCTCTCTGGCCATTAAAGAACGTAATATATCTTGTTAGAAACACCCAGACCCCTGCCGTCTACACCGCCACTGTTCCTGCTCCTTCCACACTCCGTCTCGACACAGCATGTTTACCTACACGTCTCTTATGCTGTGTGATCTGATTTCAAGCATCCTTACATGCTGTTACATCTTCTTTGTAAATACCATTTTTCAATTTTAATTGTTTTTTTAACGTATTTTTTTATTGGTTTCAGATAGGAAGGAAGAGGGAGGGAAGGAGAGAGAGATAGAAACATCAATGATGAGAGAGAATCATTGATTGGCTGCCTCCTGCACACCCCGTATTGGGGATCAAGCCCGCAACCCAGGCATGTGCCCTTGACCAGAATCGAACCCGGACCCTTCAGTCTGCAGGTTGATGCTCTATCCATTGAGCCAAATCGGCCAGGGCTGTAAATATCATTTTGGCTGCATAGTATATCATCACGTGGGTATACCATAGTTTGTTTTTCCATTCCCCTTGGTGAGTTTCCATTCTCTGTCTAATTTTGAGCCATTATAGGAAACACTGCAGTAAACATCTTCGTGTGTGAAGCTTGTCCGTACCTAGCAGTGTTTTTTGTGGGTGCGTAATCAAAAGTGGACTAGAGAATGTGTTTTATTTGCCAGCATTTAAATAATGTGTATAGACACACGGCAGCTGAAAGGAAATCTTTGGGGAAAGTCTTCATTTCCCTGTGCTGAGTTACCTTACAGTGGTTGAAAGGGGGAACGTGGGTCGGTTCTCTCATCTGGGCTTGCCTTCGTCTGGCGAGTTTAGGTCAGGCTGGGTCTCGGCGCAGGTGCAGCCAGCTGCCCACAGCTTGCAGAACAGGGGTCTGCTAAGAGGCAACCCAAAACCTCCCTTTCCTTTCTGCGGAGGCCAGGTCCTGACAGGGAGACAACAACAAATACAAGAAAAGATTGAACAAAACCGACGGGCGCAAGAGGAATCCCTAAGACACAGGGAGCAACTTATTCAGAACCTGGAGGAGGCAAGAGAGGCAGCTCGTCGAGAGAAAGAGGAGAGTGAGGAACTGAAATCCGCCAGGAAACAGGAGCTGGAAGCCCAGGTGGGCCCCTCACGGCGGGAGCAGCCTCAGCGAGGGGATGAGCGCTGCGGCCACAGGGCCTGGGTGCCCTGCATGGTGGACCCTGCCTGGTGGTGGCACAGGATTCGGGCCCTCGGCTGATTCCCGCCGCCTGGCACTCCCATAAGAAGCCCACAGTCATGTATCTCCTGCTGACTGTGAAGCGGGTCTGTCATTACTGCCCCGTCTCATTCCTGTCCCATCTGCAAACACGTCGCTCACTGGGCCACAAGCCTCCATTCAGTTCAGTACCGAATAGGTAACAAAATCTCCCAAAGACGTGGCCGCGTCCAGAGCTTCCTACCAGGCGCGCACTGCCACGCACGACGCTTCTGCACCACATGCCCCGCCCGCTGTGGGCACGTCCCTCCCTCTCACCTGCTGACTCCAGCGGGGGTAGGTCCACAGCTGCCCTGCTGATCGGAGGCAGGGTCTGCCCCGCGGGCCTGGTCTCCGGTGACTTACTCTGTGTGTCCAGGTGGCAGAGTGCCAGCGGCAGGCCTGGGAAGCGGACCAGCAGGAGGCGGAGGAGGAGGAGGAGGCGAGGCAGGCGGAGCAGCTCACCAGTGCCCTGCTGCAGCAGGAGGCCAAGATGATGGCCAAGCAGGGATACCGGCCCAAGGTAGGGAGCCTGCGGGGACGGGCCACCACTGCCAACCCCTCGGCCTGGCCCCTGCTCTCCAGCCTGTGCACACGCTGTGCGCGGCTCTGCTCCCAGCAGCTGGGAGACCCTTGCTCTCCTCTTGTGTGCTTCCTTTTCGCTACAGTAGGTCACCTTGACGGGGTCTGTTTCTCAATGGGGTCTGTTTCGGTCGTTGGTGGGGCCTCAGCCAGCCCTGGAGGTGATTTTGCTTTGGCTCCTGTCGCTGCAGCCCAAGGAGGGAGGTCCCGACTGCTAAGCTGTGTCCTGGAACCCTGTTTGGGGACAAATAGCAATCTTGGGAGAGTGTTGGCCACAGCTGGTGAGAGGAGAAGGCCATGGTTCTGGGCCCTAACTACGCAGACGTCAGAACCCCGCCCCCTCGTCGGTTCTCCCCTCCTCACCCCCCCTTTCCCTGCCACTGCAGGACGTCAGTGACCCCTGCTCTGAGGGAGCTCGCTGAGGCCAGCAGGCCGTCACTGCTGCCCCTCCTTTATCAGGGACCCAGGCGCTCTGAGTGCTGCAAGGCAGGCCGGCTCCTTGGAAGCCGATATGAAACCATCAGCAGCTACTGCACCTGCTCCAGAATGTTAATGTCCTGACCGGCTGGGCTCTTGAGGTGCAGGGGACAGCGTTTTAAACTTGGTGACCATGGCCAGTGAGAGTCTCAGGGTCAGGGTGTCACAGAGCACAGCTGAAAATGTACTCAGGGCTGGTACTTTAAAACGAGCCAGCAAGCGCCTCATCTGTGGCCTGGGGTCAGTGCTGCTTTGGCTGTGAGTGACAATAGCTGTTTACACTGTGCTTCTAGCTTTTACTTAAAATGGGTGAATTCCCATTGCTTCAGAGAACGCTGATCTAATTCCAGGTTTTCTTTCTGCTTTCAGCCTTACGGGCATCCCAGAATTGCTTGGAACTGACTTCCTTACCACTGGAAGCACAGAGCTGAGGTGCGAAGGCCTTTGATGTGCAGCAGCAGACGGTGTGACAACGTCCTGTTCTAGCGTTGGGGTCACTGGCAATAGCTCAGCGAGCCTGTGCAGGTGCAGGTTAAGTGATCAGGGGCTGGACAGACTAACACCGGCAGGAGGCCTCCCTCCTTTCCGATTAAGAAAGGGGCTGGGATCACACTGACCGCGCTGTCACGGCCTGTGCCGTTCATGAGGAACGTAAGGCAGAGTTCCAAGTTGTGTCCACCGCAGGATCCAGGTTCTGCTGTCTCGCCCTTAATTGTCAGCCTCTGATGACGTCCCCAGCCAGAGATCTGCGGGAAGGCTCAATGTTTAAATTACAGTTGAAATGTGTTCTATTGAAGACAAGCGTGTGGGGTATTAGTGTAGTGGTCCCAGAAGGGTCCCGTCTGGTTTTCTGAAGAGAAGAACTGTGAACCCTGAAACCGTCTGGTGTGGTCCAGGGGTGCCTTCTGGAACGGGGACAAGAAAAGAGTCTTCGGGAAGCATTTTGGTGGAATTTCCAATGCGCGCTGTGTGTGGTGGGAGGGGAGTGATCTGTGTCACTGAGCCTCAAGGTCGCTTGCATGGCTCGCCTTGTGATGTGACACTGTGGACCTTTGGTGTCTCAGGAAGGTCTCGGGCACGTACAGCCTCCTGGGGGTTATGTGCCAGAGGAAAGGGAGGCATTGGCCTGAGGAAATGAGATCAGACTCAACCACAGACTTCTCTACCCGTGCCATCAGTGTGACATAGTTCTAGATTAATCTCCACAGATAGCTGCAAGAAGTTCCTGGCAGCACATTTTTATGACTTGCATTTTTTTCGTGTCTTTCGGTCAAGTTTCAGTTTTCATTATATTGTGTTCAAGAACCCCTATCAGTAAATTATAGCTAATGACTGTCCCACGTTATTAAAACCAGAGTTTATTTAAAAATCCTGAGTGGGAGGGCTGCATTGTGCTACAAGAACAAATGAAGCTGCAAACGGCATCCTTCATCTGTTTCTCGTTTTGTCTTGAGTTTCTTTGGATATGATCCCCTGACACCACTTTCCACGCAGGCTCATGTATTCCCATCTCAGATGTCCCTTCATGTGAAATAAAGTTGGTTTGACGGCATCGCTTCCAGGCTCTTACTGTTGCTTTATTAATTGCTGCAAAGTGGTTGTGTAGAACGATAGATTTTTACTTATTTCATCTAACTCTGCAGGTTTGGACAGAATATTCTCTAGGACTGTTCACTTATTCTAGGTTATGCTCATTTTTCTGGTAAATTGGTATTGCCTCCCCTCTCATTTCCATCGGAGCCTCTTCTCCACAGGGAAATAGCAGTTGTATTGTCTGAGCTCTAGTACAGGACTGATAGGGGTAGTCCTGTGTTCGATTCCAGTTAAGGGCGCATGCCCGGATTGCGGGCTAGATCCCCAGTAGGGGGCGTGCAAGAGGCAGCCAATGATTCTCTCATCATTGATGTTTCTATCTCTCCCTCTTCCTCTCTGAAATCAATAAAAATTTATTAAAAAATATGTTTCCAAATTTAGAGCTTCCTTTATCTGATATATATTTTGTGTATGCGTATTGATTTTGTTCTTAAGCACCTTTTTCTACTTATTGTGGACATAGTATTTTATGGATATAATGAGTATTTTTTCAGGATCTGGGTTTTTAGGTATTTTTCATAAAACTTAAAGCGTTATATAGTCTCTGTTTCTATGTGGAAACATTTAGGGGAGAGGACGCTGTGGGGACTCCCTATGTGTGAGGTCACCCCTGCCAGGTGGCACTGCCACACCTGCCGCTGCCCTAGTTCCTGAGGAACAGCTTCTGGCTTGCCAGTGACACAGGCCTTGCTCCTCTGGGTTGACGACACAAATGGGTTTCTTTGGGCGCTTCTGCAGAGGGACTTTGGCCTTTGCCGGCGTCTGACACACCTCATGGGGCCTGGCGTCTGGCTCGGTGGCTGGCTGGTCGAGGTGGGGACCACTCACTCTTCTAGCCTGGTGTCTGGGCCACAGGGACGGGCTCCTGGAGAGCCTTGCACGCCAGCCTGCTGGGCAGCGGGTCATCCTCAGATGGTCACTGAACTGTCCCTGCGGTGAGGTCACCCCCACACAGCCCCATGGATGGGAAAGCGCTGCTCAAGGTGCTTGGGAGCCAGAGGACAGTCTGTCCAGTTGGTCCAGCCGTGGGCAAACTACGGCCCGCGGGCCCGTTTGAAATGAATAAAACTATTGAAAAAAAAGACCGCACCCTTTTATGTAATGATGTTTACTTTGAATTTATATTAGTTCACACAAACACTCCATCCATGCTTTTGTTCCGGCCCTCTGGTCCAGTTTAAGAACCCATTGTGGCCCTCGAGTCAAAAAGTTTGCCCACCCCTGAGTTAGTCACTCAACAAATGCTGTAGGGGTTCCAGTGCCCAGGGCTCAAGGATGGCACAGCCTCCACTCCAGGGCCACAAGCAGACTGTGCCCCATGTATCCAGTGAAGCCGTGTTCACGTCACCCGCTGCCCTTTGGACCTAGAGACGCCTCCCTCCCCACGGGGCCACATTCTCCGAGCCTCCTCGTCACAGACTCCGCTGGGTCGTGAAGCCCACAGGGGCCATCGGGGCCAATCAAGACGACTCAGTAACACACATGCTCCCCGCTTCCCCCTGGGACGGCACCTGGACTGTCAGTTTCCTCAGCAGCACTGATGCCCACAGGGTTGTGGTGAGGACTAAAGGAGCTAATCCTCATCAAGAACCCAGCACAGTGCCTGGCGCAGAGGAAGTAGTTGATACATGTTGTCATTAGTATTGTAAAAACCTATTTAAAAGCAGAAACGCAGAGCTGCCGGTGGGGAGGGCCCTGAGAAGGGTGGACAGCAGCGCTTCTGAGCTGCCAGGACCCACAGCAGCAGCCCCGGCCCTCCCCACAGCTGCTGGGTCCGAGATGCTGGAGGGTTTTAACGAGCCCTGCCCTCGGAGGTGCTTCTGGGTGGGTGCTGATGGCCTGACCAGCTGGCTCGGGACCTCAGACAAGCTGGATCACTGAGGACTCCATCTTCCCTGCACATCTCGCTCAGAAAGGTCCCGCCGCATCCCTTCCATCTGGGAGAAGAGCCCAAGTCGCCTCTCCAGAGGACGACTGCTGGGGACGGAGGGTGGCCCCGATGAACCCGGTGTGACTATTCAGTCCCCCAGGTGAGCCTGCACAGGGGACCTTGCTCTGAAAGAGACCGATGGCCTTAGAGTCCCTGTGGTTGGCAAGCTGCGGCTCGCGAGCCACATGTGGCTCTTTGGCCCCTTGAGTGTGGCTCTTCCTAAGCCTTAGGAGTACCCTAATTAAGTTATTAACAATGTACCTACCTATATAGTTTAAAATATTTGGCTCTCAAAAGAAATTTCAATCGTTGTACTGTTGATACTGGGCTCTGTTGACTAATGAGTTTGCTGACCACTGGCCTTAGACTAAACGAGCCCCATGACCAGCTCACCTGGGAAGAGGAGGTGAGGGCGCCTGTGCGCAGCCACTCTCACTGAATTTAAGTCAAACTTAGGGAGAGAGCCCATTGTGAGAAGGTGCCTGGAACTGATGCCCCGGTGCAGAGGATGAAAAGGGCCTCAGCCCTGTAAGCTGAGCGCCGGGCGAAGCGTCTTCAGTGCTGTCTCATCAGAGGGGGTGAGGGAGTATCTGAAGCATCAACTAATTGACGGGAGACATACAATTACCACAGAGACAGATAGAGAGCCTGTTTATTGCGTAACTAGCAGGCACAAATTCCAAAACAATTTTACAACGCTTAAAGGGTTGTACAATAATTACAGGAATAGAATGTACAATACAAATGAAAAGTAAGTGCAGAAGAAGGGGTGACATGGATAAAACATTTCCATAAAAGGCATTTCAGTATTCCTATGCAGCATTTTTCTTTCGTAAAAACAAGGGCGACCTTCAACCAGGACGAGAAGGAAAATGCTATGTCTGGGAGCGCGCAACTGCTGTGGGGACCACCAGGCTGCCTTGCTCCTGGCTCCCAGCCTAGAGGCCCAAGGCCCCGGACAGCTCCCGAGTGTGCATTTGCCCGACTGCTCTTTGGCAAATAAGAACCATTTGCATTGAGGCAGAGGTGCCTTCAGTTCCCGGAGCTGGGGGTGGAGCTGCCTCAGCAAGTGCCTGTTGTGTAAAGGGCACCTCTGACCTACCGGCTCTGGGGGAGGGGGTTGAGAACAGGGAAAACATGACATTAGGACACAGACATTAGTGCAAGGCTGTGGGACCCATGTGCAAAAAGTGGTGAGCGGCGTGCAGACACGGGGCGGTCTGCCCCAGGACAGAGAGCCTGCGACAAGGGCCTCGCTGAGGCTGAGGTTGAGGAATGGGCGGTCGGAGAAGGAAGCTGGCGGCCCTCCTAGCACCGTGTGTCTTGCCACCTGGAACTCCTTCCTGGAGTTCGGGCGCTGTGGTCGACAGCAAACCCTGCGGTGTTCTTACAACCAAAAACGCTGGGCTCCGCGTTCCGGGACTTACTCTGGGGCAGAAGCAACGCTCTTCATTGCAGGTCCTCGTGTCCGAGGAAAGACATCGCTGCGCCCATCACAGACAACTCATTATTCAGAAACCTGTCCTCCGGGGGCCACGGCCACCAGCTCAAGAGCGTGCTGGGCCTTTCCTGAGGACCCAATGCGCCCAGTAGGAGGGCGGGTGTTGGCAGGAAAGAGGGACACTGAGTGTACAGCATGCAGAGGTGGCTTCCCGACGGGGCTGGAGCTGCAGGTAGGAGCATCCCTCAGCATCGACGGCACTTAGGGTGTGCGCATCAGCAAGTGGACGAGTCTTCTGGAGATTGGACCCTTTCCCCAAGCTACTCAGTGACGTGAAGCCGGCAGGAGCGTCCACACAGTGACTCAGTCAAGCAAACACCCTCAAGGTGCTCCTTTCGTGACAGTTTACGGTCAAGCTATGAAGGTGATTGTGAATCAAACAGTTCTGACAGTGCAGGCTTGTTCAGCATGTATTTAGGCAACTTTGATAATTGTGACTTCTTCACACGTGTGAAGGAGCACTACGGGACAGAATATATGGGTAAAGCAAGGAAAGGGTGGCCACATACGGGCACGGCTCAGAGGCTAACCCAGGTGGGACTAGGGAAGCCCGACTCGCACCAGTTCGCAGGCCCCAGGGCAGAGGCTGTGCGCGGCGGCCTCGAGACCACAGCTCACCCACATGTGCTGGGAAAATGTCTGCAGTAGTCGTCAGCATTTATAAACAGAGAGATGGCACAAAAACATCCAGATTCCTGGAGTCTCTTGAGAAATAAATGCTCTGGCAACCCTGCATCCACTTTTCCACCTGGCAGCCCAAGTGGAGCTGGGGGCTGCTGTGCCACTGGGTGTGCCCTGGCCCCCCTGATGCCCCTGCCCCGCTCCGCACCTGGCTCACCCCATCCTCTTCCTCACCACGGCCTGGCCTCTGGTCTAGGCCAGGTCTGAGGCCCCACACAAAGCGGCGGCAGTCAGCAGGTACAGGAATGTGCTCTCCAGCTGCTGAGGAAACACCTCAGTGTGTCCCAGAGCTCACACTTGTGCTCTTCCATAGCTTTGGGGCATCTGCTAGTCAGCCAAACACTCTCTAAGGAATTCTTGAAAGCTGATGTCCAATTTTTAAAAACCAGCACGATAGTGAAAAAGAAATAAACCCAGATGACTGTATACATCTTACCTCACAAGAAGTCCTTAAAGGGGACGAGCTACGTGAAGCAGGTCGCGAGAAGGCTTTACGTGGTCAAAGGAGTGACCGAGTTTCAGGTGAGAGAGGTGCCATACAAGGTCCGGGCGCAGAGGGTTTCTCTTCCCGTGTTCACGGTACTGACGGGAGGGGGTGCAGAGGAGCTATGGCCTGGGCGCTGCTCCTCCCGCTGTCCCAGGAAGGGAAGTCTGGTTTCCTGTGATAAGGCAGAGCAGTAGACCACGTGTGGTAACACAGCGGTGCCCCTACCAGGACGTGGCCACGTGACACACGACGTGGAGGATGGGTGCTTATCTGATGCCACGGAGACTTCAGGATGATAGTAAAATAGAGAAGATCAAGATAGAGAAATTAAAGAACACCTCATGATAGCACAGTGAAAAGAAATG